ACCAGTGCTTTCTGGGGGCATCTCCCAAACAGGCTACTTGCCTTCACATTATTCTGTTAGGATCTGCTTCCAGGGGCACTCAATCTAAGGCACTTGCTGCAAATGGAAGACAATTGGTGAAATATACAAAAAAGTGAAACAAAGCCAGCTACTGTTGCCGATGACAGGCTTGTACTCGGGATCTGCTCTGTTTCTTCAGAAGAAAGAACAGGTGGCAGGAAGGTGTCCAAGATGCGCCAGCCCCAAGTGGAGTTTTTCCCTCCCCATGGCATGACAGGGAGGACGAAAGGGAATTTCACGCCGGGTCCCTGTACCTTGCAGCTACCTCTAGCCCCATCCATGGCCCCAGGCTCACGAGGTCCTGAGAAAAACTTCCCACAGGCCAACTCCAAGGACAATGGAAAGTCCCTTCCCTGGGCCACTGACAAGACACAGGCCTGGCTGGACCCAGTGGGCAGCCCTCAGTACCCACCCAGGAGGGGCCCACAGGAAAACTAGCCTGACCCATGGGCAGATAGATGGCTTCAACTTTGCCGTGAGTGCCTCTGGAGAAGGGAGAGCTCATGAGCTCATTCATTCATTCATGCATGCATTGATTCGACAAATTCTGACGGAGTACCAACTGTGTGCTGAGCACCATGCTGGGCACTGGGGAGCTCCCTCATGGAGCTGCCACTCCAGTAGGGGACACAGACGAGAAATAAGCAAACACACAAATAAACTCGGAATGAGAGCATTCCGTGCTACAAAGGAAAGAAACAGAATGAAGGGGGCATCCGAGTGCAGTGGTTCACACCGAAATAATCCCAGCACTTGGAGGGCCGAGGTGGGAGGATTGCTTGAGCTCAGGAGTTTGAGACCAGCCTGAGTCACATAGTATGACCTTATCCCTACTTTAAAAAAAAAATGCTGGGCATGATGGCACACACCTGTAGTCCCAGCTATTGAGGAGGCTGAGGCAGGAAAATCACTTGAGCCTGGGACATGGAGTTATGATTGTACCACTGCACTCCAGCCTGGGTGACAGAGTGAGACCCTGTCATAAAAAAAAAAAAAAAAAAATGAGAGAGCGCTTTGGTAGCATAACCGGGAGGGCCTCTGAGGAGGGTCGTTGAAGTTCAGGACTGAATCCGGAGAGCTGGAGAAGGCAATGAACCAGGGAAGGGCAAGTGCAAAGGCCCAGGGTGGGAATGAGCTGGGTGCGCTGGAGAGAGGCAAACACTGGCTGGTTGCTGGAGTGTAGGAAAGGGGAACGGTGGCAGGAGGCCACGGTGAAAGTGGTGGTCCTGAGGCAGGTCACAGCAAAGAGACGCCTGGTTAAGTATTTGTGTGAATACTGAGCCTTGCAGGAGAGGCATCCATGGGCACTGGATGGGAAGCAAATAGCAGAGAGTGAAGGCATCGGTTGGAGGGCTTTTCTCTTGGTACCTTTGTCCGTGGTAGGGGGGGCCAAGGGGACAGACCTTGGCTTGCATGGGGTCAGCCAGGCGGCAGCAGGGAGGGTCTTCAGGCCCCTTCATCAGGGTGGACCTGGCTAATTTCAACCAGTTGAATCAGCAACTGGTATTCAGCATCTCATCATGGTTTGTAATCTGTGAGAGGCTCTTTTTTGAGGTACCTATGCATCAGGCTCTCTGCAACCCTACCAGAGGCTGCCCGACAAGCCGCCTGCCTAAGAGATACAGAAATGGAAAGTTGCAGTACACTGTGACAACCATTCCAGGGAAGATCTGGACAAAGCCAGGGTCCTTCAAATTGGCTTTTGAAGATGAAGAGAGGCTCCCTCGAGAAAAAACATCATTAAAAGAGCAGAAACAAGTGTCTCATTCGATGCTGTGACCCCAGCACCCGGCTCAGAGCCTGCTGGATGGTGGGGGCTCCATCAGTATCTGTTGATGAACAAATCTGAGCCGCCCACACTTTGGTTATGCAAATTGGAAACTGCCTTCACAGTTTTCATGCTGTCTACTCTCCACTTCTACTGTTCCTTATTTAATGTGTTTCTTCAAATTTACTGACGTTTTCACTTAAATAAATTTATTTTAAAAGGAAACATTTGGTGCTATCACTAGAACTGAAAAAAACAAAGAACGCATGCCACAAATCAAAAGCAACCAGAAAAATACAAAGAAAACAAAACAATGTTATTAACGTCTACCTGTTGAAAGAATAAAAAGACAAGCCGCAGAACAGGAGAAAATATTTGCAGATCACATATTTGACAAAGGGTTGACTCGTGTCCAGAATATATGCAACAAACTCTCCAAATCTATTAAGAAGAAAACAATTGGGGTTTTTTTAACGGACATAAAGTTTGAACAGATATTACACCAAAGAAAATACACAGATGGCAAAGAAACACATACAAAGATGTTCAAAATCATCAGTCACTAGGGAAATGCAAACTCACACCACAATAAGATACCATTATCACCTATGTGAATGACTAAAAGTAAAACACACATACACACAAAAAAACCTAACAACACTAAGTGTTGGTGAGAATAGGAAGCAACTGACACTTTCACACATTGCTGGTGGGATGAAAAATGGTACAGACACCTTGGAAAAGAGTTCAGCGGTTTCTGATAAAGTGAAACATACACTTAGCCACCTGTCCTAGCAATTCCACTCCTAGAAATTAACCCAAGATAAACAAAAATTTATGCTCACATAAAAACCTGTTTGCAAATGTGCCTAGTGGCCTTATTTATAATGGCTAAAACCTGGAATCAGTCCGAATATCCCTCAGCTGGTGAATGGATGAATAAGCTTTGATACAGCTATACCCTGGAATACTCTTCTGCAATAAAAAGGAACCATCTACGGATACACACAACCACATGTATGCATCTCAAAAGCGTCATGCTGAGCAGGAAAAAAAAAACAGACTCAAACTGAGGAGACACATTGTAGAATTTCACTTATGTGGCATTCTAGAAAAGGCAAACTTATATAGAAACAGAAAACAGATCAGATGTAAAATTCAAAAACATGTGTAACTGATCCGTGGTCATACAAGTCGGATCGTGGCGTCCCTCGCGGGAACATGATGGAGGAGAGCAAGGGCAGCTGTGGGGGTGGGGATCTCCAGTCTGCTCACTGGGGTGCCGATTACAGGGCTGGGACAAGCTGGACACTTCAGCATGTGTGCTGCAGCCCTATGGGGCATTTCAAAAAGTCTAGCTGGATACAACTGAGAGCCTGAGACATGAATGAGCCTGAGACCTGCTCTCTCTGTCACTAAGGAAGATTAGCAAGTATTTGGTCTTAGAGGCAGGTTAGCACCAAACAGAGACTCTTCTGGATATAAAGGAAAGACTGTAAAGAATTTGCAGAGAGAAGAACTCGCTATGTGACCTGAGGTGATTTTACGCTTTGTCTGTGCACCCTATAAAATAATCTTGTGTGGTCCCCAAGGTGCACTGCAAATCACCAAACCAGGAGATGCTGGAGAGTCTGAGACAGCGTGCTGGCAGCGCTCTGCCGGGGGAAGGACGCGGAAGTGTCCAAACTCGGCTCCGAAAGCAGACAAGCCTGCACTGCGTTGGAGCAGGTGAGGAGGGCTGGGGGCCGCTGTGCCCTTTTTGTCTGTGTCCCTTGCCACCCAACACGAGCTCAGCACATCATCGATCTTCACTAACCAGTCACCCCTCCAGCTTCTGCACTGGCTGTTCCCTCTGCTAAAGATACCCCCTTCTCCCACCTTAACCACCCAACTAACTCTTAAGCGCAGCTCCCAGGTGCCTCCTCCTTCTTCTCCTTGTTACATGACAGCCCCGCTGGGCATTTGCTTTGGGGTGTCTAGACACACTATGGAGTCTCTTCTCCCATGGGGCAGGGTCAGTCAGCACCTTCTGCATGCAAGGGACAGACAGCCAGTCCCAACTGTTTTCAGCCAAAACTGGGAAATGTGGTGGCTCAGGTAACTAGCAAGCTGAAGGTGCCTAGTTTCAGGTATGGTGGGGTCCGGGAGTTCAAAGCCTGTCCAGCTCTGGGCTGCCTCCTCTGAGGTAGGCTTTTCCTTTGTTTTGTCCTTTTTCGCTCTAAGTGTTGACTTGCTCACTCTCCCCTCAATGGAAAATGGCATCTCCTTCACAAATCATGGGCAGCCCTGAAGTCCCAGGATCAAGTTTCATTGGGGAGACTCAGTCATGTGCCCACCCCTGGACCAATCACTAGAGCAAGACCCAGTCACATGTCCACCCCTGGAGACAGAGGCCTCTGTGCACCGGCAGCCTCAGGGACTGAGAAAAGGGAAGAGGGGGGTTCTTCAGTAGGAAGTTGAGGTGCTGTTACCTGAAAATGGGAGCTAGATACCAACCTGTCCACACACCCACCCCTTCTCCCGCCTCATCTCTGCACATTGTATGACCTCAGGCCAACCCCTTCCCCTCTCTGGGTCTCATGTTCCTCCTCCGGAAAATGGGCAGGGGACCGTTTCAATTCCAACATTCCAGAATTCTGGGACAGCTTCCAGGACTGGAGGCTGCTCCCTAGATCCCAGGAACGTCCCAGCACTTCTGGGGACGGAAGTGGAGCATCAGCCAGAGCCCTCCCCGGCCCCCAGCCTGGTAATATGCTTAGAAGATGACAATTGGGCTGCCTTTGGCCGAAATTCCACTCCCGTGGGGGCCTTGCCAAGGAAAACAAACCCAAGAAGCAGGCATTAAAGGTGAGCATACTTGAGCATTTTAAGATGACAAATTATTTACACAGGTGTGGGAACCATCCCCTCGCACCCTGCTTTCTTTTTCTCCCTCCCCTTTCCAAATTCTTTCCCCCAAGGGTGCTGACAGACATGCCAAGGGAGGGGGTGGTTGGTCATGGAGATCTGCCCAGAGTAAGTCCACAAACCCAGGGCAAAGGGGGCGGACAGAGGAGCAGGAAAGAGAGTGGCTGCATGGCGGAGGCTGGTCCTTGCTCACCTGCCTTCTCGCTCTCTACCCCGTTGCTTGGGGAGATTCTGAGGCTGGGGTCCCAAGAATTTTATTGCTACCTGAGTCCTTGAAGAAACTCATGCCCAGGCCATCCTTTGTCCACAAGGGGGAATAGGAAACCGGAGAGGTGAAAAGCAACCCCCAGAGTCACACAGCCAGCCGCTGAACTTGGGGCTAGCAGGAGAAGAGATAGAGGAAGCAATCACTTCTTAAGCACCTAGTATGTGTCTGACACTGTGCTGAGACTGGGAGCACATTATGAATGAAACAGACAAAATTCCCTTCCTCATGGAACTGAAAAAGAGACAAACAAGATAAATAGTAAGATACCTCCAGAAGGGCTCGAAGAAGAGTAAGAGGGGGTGAAGAGGTGGCAGGGGTGCTGTCTAGGTTGGGGAGGTAACATTTGAACCAAGAAAGACGAGACTGAGCCGGCCATGGGGAGACTGGAAGAAGGGCATTCCACGCAGCTGGCACTGCACATGCAAAGGCCCTGAGGTGGGAAAGGGCCTGCGGTGTTCAGGGAACCGTCAGGGGGCCAGTGTGACTGCAGCAAGAAGGAAAGGTGATGAATCAGAGGTAGACGCAGGTCAACAAACCCCAGGTAGAATCATCCTGTGTTACCAGGGAGGAAACTGAAGCCCAGAGAGGAGCAGTGACTTGCCCAGCCTCACAGAGCAGAGCCGGATTCCAGCCCCTTTCATCAGTTCCAAACCCATGTTCCTGTGCTTCTGTGAGGGTCCAGGGTGGGAGCAGGTGCTGTGAGGACCTTCCAGGTCTCCAGCCTGCAGCTCAGCTCTGAAGATGAGGGGCATCTGGGCCAGCTGCGGCTTCCTGTGGGAAGAAAGCAGAGATGGACTGCTGAGTCACGGGGGAGCAACAGGCTCCCAGGCTGCCATGGATTCTGCCTTAGTTTACCTACCCATCATCACACGTCTGCCTCTGGTGCTGACTTCAGAGGGTGCTGTAAAGGTTAATTACTGCCTGGCAGCTCCAGGAGCCTTGATGAAAGGTGGCAGGAAGTGGGCACTATTAACCCGAGCAGGTAATTACCCCCGGCCTGGGGGAGAGTGCAGAGGGGTCCCAGCCTGAGTCACTTCTGGTTCTGATTCAACTCCAGGCCAGCCTCTTTCCAGGTGGATAGGGCCCAATGTGCTTAAACATCTGACCATTGTCCTGGCCCCAAGCCCCCCAGCACCAGGCAGCGCTGAAGCTAGGAGTCATCACAAGCCACACAGGCCCAGGGTTCAAATCCCATCTCTGCCGCTGCTCTGGCCGGGAGACCTGGACAACGCTCCTCACCTCTTGGGCCTGTTTCTTCATCCATGCAGTGGGTGTCTTGGTCTGTTTTGTGTTGCTATAACAGAATACCACAGCCTGGGTAATTTTATAAAGAACAGAGATGTATTTCTAACAGTCCTGGAGACCGGAGAGCTGAAGATTGAGAGGCTCGCTCAAGAGAGGGCCTTCTTGCTGTCGTTCCCTGGCGAAGGCATCTCATGGCAAGAGGCGGCATGTGAGACAGCAAGGCATGGCTGAACTCACTTACGTGACAAATCCACTCTGTCCATCACGAAACCACTCCTGCGTTACTGACACGAATCCATTCATCAGCGCAGAGTCCTCATGACCCGGTCACCTCTTAGCAGCCCACATGATCTTTGGGAGACCCATTGGGACCACGGCAGTGCGGGCTGAGACTCTGGCCCCTCCCCAGGGCGCTGTGGCTCTTTCTTACACATACACCAGATACTGTGCCTCGTGGCCACCGCGTCCCCCTGCTGTCTCAGTTTGAGAGCAAAAGTGACATGTCAGGCCACAGCTACCCACACCATCAGCCATCTCATCCTCCATGACCTGAAGGGAAATGATGAAAGACTTTTCTAGAAATAAATGATTTTTAAAAAGACTTTTCTAGAAATAAATGATTTTTAAAACAACCCAGGAAATGATCCCTGGTCGCTACTGGGCCCCTGGGAGGGAGGGTAGCCCCCTTGTTCCCCCTGCCCCCATCCCCACTTGGACCCCAGAACCAGCTCTGACTGTCCCCTGTCCCTCGAGGCCCACCCCTTCCCTCTTACCCTCTCTTGTGGCTCCTGGGTCTTGAGGCCACCCCATCTCCCCCACTCTGTATGCGCACACACGTGTCTGAGTTCTTGTCCCGCAGTGAACGCACAGCCTGGTCCCCGGTGAGCCCCAGATGGTTCCCTTCTACCAGGGTTCAGGGGATGGACACTAAGGCCAGAGCCCTCTTCCTCTTTTTACTCCCTCCCGGAGGCAATGTGGTGCCCATCTCACAGGTGGGCACGCTGAGACTCTGAGACCCAAATGCCCAAGCATGAAGAGTGGCTGAGAGGCAGGGAAGGGGAGTCCCAGGGACAGCCTGTGCACAGGGCAGGGCCGGGGGAGCCCGGCCCTCCGTGGGGTTCCTGGGAATGAGGCTGTTACCGTGAGCAGGCAGCTCCAGGGCCTTGGGCCCCCAGGTGGGAAGAAGCCAGGCGCTTGTCAGGTGGCTGCCCGCACAGGTACGCGTCAGGTCCCAGGTGGCCACGTTCAGGAAGAGGCTGGCCTGAGGAGAGCTGCTCCAGGGCTGCCCCCCGTACCCCCCAAGCTCACCTCCTGCCCCTCTGCCCTCACTCACTCCCTCTGCCCCGGCCACGCAGTCCTTGCTGAGCCATCAACGAGAGGTCCCCACAGCCCGGCCTTAGCACCTGCAGCTCCCTCTGCCCGGAGCACTGGCCCCAACCCCTGCCTTTGCACGTGGGTTTCTCCTCTTTGTTGGGGCTTCTGTTCAAACGTCTCCCCCTCAGAGGGGACCTCCCAGCCTCTCTCCATCTCATCTTCTGCTTTCTTTCCTTTGGAGCCCTGCTCACTCCCTGAAATGATCTCAAATGTCTGATTCTCCTCAGCCACAATACGGGCTCCGTGAAACAGAGGGCTTTTAGATGTCTGTCTATTGTGTTCACTGCTGTATCTCCAAGACCTGCAGCAGCATGGAACACAGTGGTGCTCGATAAACTTTTGCTGTTGTACCGAAGAAGTTTTGAGAAGATAAGATGTGATTTGCATCACAGTGGGAGGGGTGGGTGCTTCAGGGGAGACGTCATTCACAGAACTGGGGGATTTCTCCAGGGTTTTGAATCATGTCATGAGCAGCTCAACGTCACAACAATAACAATAATATTTATTGGGCGCTTCCTGCAGTGAGCACCGTACACAGATCATCTCAGAGGCCTCCCAGTGACCTGCGAGCTCAGAGCTGTGATCAGCCCCACTTTCCAGATAAGGAAACTGTAACTTAGAGTTACACTTAGGGACCGCTCCAGGTCTCTAGCAATTTGGTGGCAGGCTGTAGTTGAATACAAGGCCACTTTGACCCCCTCCCCCAACACCCTGGTCTGCCTCCGTCCCTCCAGAGCCTGAAGGTTCCCTGGAAATCGCACAGTCCCTTGATTCCTGGCACAGCCAAGAGAGGTTGTGTGTCCCGCCCATCACCCCCTAGCTGGTCAGGGGCCCAGAGCGGATGATCCCGGGCTGCTGGTGGGCCCCTGGGAGGGAGGGCAGGCCTGGCAGCTGTCCTGTCCTGGGGACGCCAAGCAGCCGGGAGTTTCTCTCCCCGGACTTACTGTACATGATTCAGCGCCAGCCCCAGTTGTGAAATCTGGGAATCTTGTGGGCAAGGCTGGGCCTGGGGGCTGGCCGTCTGGGAAGAGGAGGCTGGGAAGGGGTTAAGGGGGGTGGCGGGGGAGGAGGGGGCAGGCGCCAGGCCAGACCAGCAGAGAGCGCACAGTTAGCACTGGGCCGGCTGCCTGTGGCCGGCCTCTGACATCACGGCTGCGTCAGCCCAGCCAGCCCCAGCCCCCCACTTCCTCCTCTCCCTGGGCAGCATCCTCCACCACCTCCCCAGCCTCACTGTCCTGTCCTGAAAATGAGCAGCGTGCAGCCTTCCCTCTTGGAAGGGGGCGGGGTGTTCAGGGAGAGGGAGAGGACAAACGCCACTTTGCATCCAGGAAGGACTTAGTAAATGACAGCCGTGATGTGTTGGAGCCAAACCATAATCCTGGGAGACAGGGCAGGTAGGAAGCTTGCACACTTATTTTAGCAAAGAAGACACTGAGGGTCTGAGAAGGGAAGGGACTTGCCCAAGGTCACCCAGCTGCACAGTCATAATGACTTGTAAATAAGGATCATGTTGATCTTCCTCCACTCTTCATTAGAAGGGCATGTGTCTCTCGGTGCCTGGATGGGCTGCAGTGAATGTCCCGAGGCCTGGAATTTTCTTCCTCATCTGCTTAATTTGTTAAGTCAGATTAAACCAAATGAGCATTTGTTTGACTAGAGGAACAACAAAGGATTTCATAGGAACTAGTCATAGATCAGTTATGATTTACGGTAGTGAATCAAATAAATTCTGCAATTGAAATGATTTTCTTAAGAAATCACAGAGTGAGGCCAGGCACGGTGGCTCACGCCTGTAATCCCAGCACTTTGGGAGGCCGAGGCAGATGGATCACTTGAGGTCAGGCGTCTGCGACCAGCCTGGCCAACATGGTGAAACCCTGTCTCTACTAAAAATACAAAAATTAGCCGGGCGTGGTGGTGCACACCTGTAATCCCAGCTACCTGAGAGGCTGAGGTGGAAGAATCACTTGAACCTGGGAGACAGAGGTTGCAGTGAGCCGAGATCGTGCCACTGCGCTGCAGCTTGGGTGACAGAGTGAGACCCTGTCTCAAACCAACCAACAGCAAACGTCACAGAGTGCCTACTCTGCTCCAGGCTCATTTACATGCGTCAGGCTCAATCCTCATGGCAACTCTTCGCAGGTGGGACAATGACCCCATCTCACAAGGAGGAAAATGAGGCACAGGGAGGCAATTGATGCCTGAGGCCACAGAGCCGGGAAATGACAGTGGTGATGACAGTAACGCTAGTTGGCCGGATCAGCCACTTCCTCCGAGTGCTGAGCGTGGTATTTACAGGAGTGCACCAGCTCCTCTGAGCCCCCCAGGAGGAGAGAGAGCACCCTTACTCTCCCCATGTCACAGGTGAGAAACCAAGGCCCAGCTGGGTTACATTACTTGCCCAGATCACACAGCTAGGAAGTGTTGGCAAAGCTGGGATTTGAACCCAGGCCATCTGGCCTCTGTCCCTGGCCAAGCACAGTGCTGAACTGGACATGCTATAGGTGCTCAGGTCACTCAGAGGTGACTGAACTGGAGATGCCCCGGGCTTCAGAGGGCATTCCTCCCACAAGCTACCCCTGGCATCGGCTCAGGGCTGCCCTGAGCTGGCATGGCATGGCTGGACAAAAAAGTGCAGTTATATCTTCCCCAGGATGCTGTCACCCCCATGGCTGCCACAGCCTTGAGTGCACAGAACCACCGTGAAGACCTCCAGGATCCTCCCCATTTTCCAGAGCAGAAAAGTCAAGGCCCAGAGAGGGTGTGTGACTTGCCCAAGGTCACACAGCATGGTCATATGGGCTACAGCCAGCCCCATTCCCAGCTCCTGAGCCTGCCCTCAGTTTTGGAGTCCCTGGAAGATGAATTTCAGGAGGAAGAGGGGGGGCTGAGATCTGGCCCTCCCTGACCCTCCCCAGGAACGGGCTTTCTTCTCCTCCTGGCTTTCTATCTCCTAGCTCGGTGGGACTGGGCCTCACATGAGCTGGGTCGCAAAGCGGGACAGGAAGGGCATTCCTGGCAGAGGAAACAGCACAGGCAAAGTGGATAGCATGTGGAGCAGGGAAGGAAGAATATCTAACTGGGCTGCAGTGGAGAGAGTGAGGGGCCGGGGTGGGGAGCAGTTAGAGTCAGGTAAGGATGCCTTGAATGTCATGCTCAGGAGTTTGGGCTTTGTCCAGAGGCGAGGGGAAGTCAGGAAGGCTTTAGAGCAGGGAAGGCCCAGGATAGCTAAACAGAGGGTGGACTATCGCCGTCCCTCCCCACTATCACCCTGCTTCTGTCCTGGCCCCTCCAGTCCATTCTCCACCCGCAGCCAGAGGGATCTATGAAAACTCAAGCCAGACCATGTCCCTCCTTTGCTCAGAACACTCCATGACTCCCATCTCCTGCAGGGAAAAGGCCGAAGGCCTTAGACAGCCCATGTGACCCTGCAGGCTCCGTCCCCCACGGCCCCTCGGCCCTCCCTCCCTCACTCCTCCTGTCCACACACGGGTCTTTGCTGCATCCCAAACACAACCAGCACAGCCCCCCGTCAGGGCCTGTGTGCACCGTTCCCACTGCCTGGAACACTCTCTTCTCCCCAAGGCTCCCTCCTCACCGCCTATAGAACATTGTCAGCTGTCACCTGCTCACCAAGGCTGTCCCTGTCCCGCCCATTGAAATCCATCTCCTTTTCCTGCTTCACTTCTCTCCCTAGCACAGATCCTCTCAAATGCAATAAGCAACATATTTATCTTGTGTATTGCCCACTGCCTCTGCAAGTGTGAAGTCCACAGGGGCAGAGACCTTTGGCTGTCCTATGTCCTGCCATGTCCCCAGTGCCTGACCCACAGGAAGTGCCCAATAAATATTTACTCAGTGAATGGATTCTTTTTTTTGGCAGAATAACTTGGTGAGGACCTTCCCTCGGGGATGCAGTTGGAGAAGTGACCTGCCCAGGGTCACCCAGCTCACAAGTGGCAAGCTCGTCTAGCCCCAAAGTCTGTGATTTTGGTCTCTATTCCAGGCTGCCCCTCTGGGGTTCAGGCCCCACATCAGCCACTGTACCACTGAATCAGCCCACAAGGCTGCAAGCTGGGGTCTGTCCTTGGTTCCATCTTAAGCTAGAGGCTCAGAGAGGTAAGTTGACTTGCCCAAGGTCACACAGCAACTTAGGGTGT